ATCCTGAAAGGATCATACAACAAACCGTGTAGGATAGCATCCGGAGTTCACCCATGTTCCATATCCTCTCCGCTTTCGTGGAACGAAAGCTAATCGGCTTTGATTTCTCAAGGCACACGAATTACCATGTGTCTGATTCAAGCACGTTCGAGGTATTCAAAATGGGAAATTAACTGATCAAAGCTGAAACATTCATATGTTTCCATATTCTCTGGACTAAAATCAATACAAAATGTGAGCTAAAATCAGTCGATATCCAATCTCCTCAAAGCTGATCGATGTGTAAAGATCTCAGTGACGACACAGTTTGACTTGTGTCATGTTTCGATAATCTTGTTTTTTCAAAGAGGTAAAAATACGGCACTGAAAAAGACGGAACACTCATCCTATTTAAGCCAAGAATCCGCTCGATTTCAAAATCTTCCCAAAACATGAATCTAAGAGCTATCCTGTCTTTCATTGGGTTCTTTATCCGATAGACATTGCACCAATTGTTTGCTGTGAAAACGTACTCATTTGGCTGGGGACGCATAATCGCCCTCGATGAAATTCTTCAAAAATGACCAGCATTTAATATCATCTTGGTAGTCACGATTGAAAAGGGTCTTCTGTTTTTACTGAAGTAATTCATTCAATAAACAATAGCTAGTTTGGTCGGATTTGAATTCATGAATCGACGCCACCCAGATTAGCTAAGAAAGCTTAGTGAGTACAAGAGGAAAGGCGGTGTCCATACATGGGTTTGAATGCGATTGAGGCCGACAACGCGCAATCCATGGGTCAACTAAATATTTGGCGATTCTACAATAAAGCTGATTTCATCCTAATGAATCTGTTTAGCGCGTTGAATCAGGACTCCAGATGATGCTAAATGTGTTAGAGCCTTTTTCGTTTTCGTTCGGAACAACTTGGTTGACTTCTTCAGTGTGATAGCAACACTCGTTACGACCTAATAATGCTCGTAAAATGACATGTTACCCCTCCCCTTGCGGCAACAGACTTCGAGGATCATAAGCGCCCAAGAATGTGGACAATAAACCGAAACTGGGCGTAGAACATGTTGGTATTGTCAATCATGCATTGTGTACATAGCAGATTCAGATGTATTCACCCAAGTAAGATTTACCACATTGGTAAATGATGATGAGGTTTGAAACCCGTGAGTTTTTTATCGTCCATCTTTATAGAAATTCTTCCTCGAAGCTCATTTAATAAGGCTGCCAGACTTAGATTTATATAATACAAACCTTGGTGTTAGTCCAGTCAACTGATGCTCGCTTTGGTTATGGTAATTCGATTCATCTATCCCCTAGCATGTGACTCAACGAGTCATGAGGTGAATGTGAGCTTTTAGCAAAAGGTTTTAATTAGTGAACTGTCTATTCATTAGTAATACACAAGCAACTTCAGTCTATTTCATTCAAACAAGTCCGCATGGTAGTCGTGTCAAGTCAGTCGGCGTTTTTAGGCACTCGGTAAATGGTGGATTTCGTATGCGTAGAAAATTCGTGGATAAGTTTGTGGGATAAATACTGAGGGTTAGTTGCAGTGCGAACAAATAGGTGGAAAATGGAAATTGGGCTTGCCAATACATTTTGGCTAACTGATAAGGCAAACAAGAAAATCTTCATTCACTGTTCTTATAGTATATTCATCGTGACCAACATGACAGTACACATTTCTGACAAAACGTCATAGAATATCACGTTTGGTGTTATCAATCCACCGTTATCTTCTACTTCTTTACTGATCACTCTTGGCTAATGATTACTGTTCTCCAATGGAAAAGCTTCCAACTTTAGTTGGTAATATACGATATATCAAAACTTCGTTCAGGATTTGTCTCCTCGTTGATTCGTACTCCGTATTAGTTGGACCAAAATACGGAAACCACAGCATTGTGTTTGAATGGAATGAAGTAAATCGATAACAAACACGCGAATTATTCTATTTCAGGCAAGCAAGTCCGTCAACGGTCAAGCAAGCAATCAGTATACAACCCGGTATCACATTGGTTAGGGCCAAAGTGTGACTGACGAGGTGTGTGTGTGTATGAACGCTCACTCACGTACGTGAACGGACTTACGGAAGCGGTGCCGAAGCTTGGATGTACACGAGAACTGATTTAAAAGCAGAAGCTAACTAGTTGGAGAAATGTGGATAAAAGAAAATTCGCTTGCGTTTACGCATCAACCCTAGCCGAAATTGAATCGGCTACCCTCTAATCATCAGACAATTGTTCCACCAGCTGATCTATCTTGATGTGGTCAATCCGGGGTGAGTAACGCAACCGAATATCCATTGGCGCACATCGTCTCATTTGGAAGTGACCGACAAGGCTAATACAGTGATTAGACTTAAAACAGTTGCACTATATCCGTGTGAAATGGCGGTTGCGCGTCACTAGATATTCACTCGCACAATTCGCGTCCGACAAGACTTACTGCGATAGCTCAGCTGGTTGAGCAATGTCTAGGTGAGTGTAAGGTAGCCGGTTCGATTCCAACAAAGAAAGTGGAAGAGGCTAGTCGTATTCAAACTTTTCATAAGACTCAGACTCTCTGGGCCAATACTTAGAACAATACTTTGAAAAACGGTCTGTCTTAGACAAGGAAAGCTTTTACTCGATTTATCTTTATCCTCGTTCACTGATACGAGTTAGATGGAGAAATGGACATCTACTTTTCCGTATCCTATCTAAATATTCCCTCGTGAATAAGATGATCACAGTGTAAGAGGTCGGGGTGTTCCCATCACCTCTAAAGCAGAAAGTATTACTTGAGCGAAAAAATCCCCAATCACATTTTAATGAAACAAGTTTCGCCTGATTAGATTTAAAATCGAGCTACAGTTCAATCTGTTGTTTAACCAATGAAAGTGTCATTCACGGTGTCTCGCAATTTGCGGATAAAGCTAATAAGACCGAAATAAAGCGGGACGTTTGAAACGCAAACCATACCCTCGAATGAATAGGATCATGGTAACCTAAAGGTTTCTCCTCGGGCACAACAGAATATCACTCACAAAGTTGTGTACACGACAAGGCGTGGCTCTCGATGGAAGGACCCGTCTTAGGTCACTAAATTTGTGGTCTTCAAAAGCCCTAACTACTTTCGATGCCTGAACAAACGGTTTGGGCTCTACTGGGCACTATTGAGGTGAATAATCAACTAGGATGATGTCACGCACACGGTTGTGTTGTTCGCCTGTTTATCCTCAGACGGCTTTGCGAATTATTTAAAAAAGACACAAGTGGGGAGATTTACGAGGAAACCGGGCGTTTTCAGTAATTACCTTAGGATTTTACCCAGCGGTGCTGCTGATTAGTTGGAGACACAACAGACAAGAGTGCGATCGAAGCACGTTAACTCCGAATAGCCTTTCTTGGCCAACGACATGTCAGTTTATTGGTAACCGGGACATGTGCGTGTGTGTTTGTGATACGATCTTCCATCTGAGTGTACCTTCATAGGTTTTTTGTTCGGCGACAGAGTACAGGTTTGACTGCGATCCTTCATAGAGACTTCTAAACATGAAAGTTGTGTCGGGATTTCCTGGTTTTTATTGCTGGTTTAGCCTGCCTAGGGAAACAGTGTCAGTGCCTCCACAAACCCACAGGTAAACCATAACCTATTTCATTTAGCTTCTAGCTGTTGGCAAGGTAAACAATGTGCTCACTATATTCCCCAAAACCGTGCAATTTATCGTACGCCATTCAAGTTATCACGAAACTGATGAACCAAGCCTGCCGTGCTCGATGGGGGAGCAATCCCAAAACCAAGAAGTTCGTAATACCAATAATTACATCTTGCTTTCAAATGCCATCCAGATCACTTAATAGTTTCTTGCTATTCAAGATTACTCTCATTGATTTTTGATTTGAGACTTGTTTTCTTGTCGTTCAAATCAACTAACTGCAAATGATGAATGGCAATTACTATCCCATTTGTTGCTGAATTTCCCAAATGCTTCGAAATCATCAATTTGGAATCCAACTACGGTGTGTTGGCTTATCATATTGTGTAAGAACTTGGTTATTTGATGCAATGTAGTTGGGTCGGTTGCCCGGGCTTAACGTAGGAATCGCTTTGATCTCTTTTCGTGTGTGCAGGGAAGGGGTGTGTCGTAAGTGCGTCTATCTCCCATCACCAAGATCCACCTGGGTACTGTGAGCGGGGTTACGGGCAGAAACCTCAAAAACAAAATAATCCATTTGTACGATTGGCAAGGTTTCCTACAACGAATCAGTGGTCTGTTTCTTTCGGTCGCACACACACACACACACACACACACACACACACACACACACACACACATACACACAAACAGAGAGACCGAAATGGAGGACAGTTCGATCAGATTTGAGGTGAAAAAAATTCAGTTGTGTGCAGATCACAGGCATTCTGAGTAGACAAAATGACAAAAATGGATAAGAAACACAATGTCAGCTGCAAACTTGGTAAGAAAAGTAATCAGAAGTTGTGTTCAGAATTACTGAGGATAGGTAGAGATTGATCACAGGTTTCCAAGTGCGTCGACGACTTCTGACATCCGGTACAGATTGAAATCACAGTGGAGCTTCATTTGATGAATGTTACTGGAACTCACTAGACGACAGAGAAGAATGATAGGATCATATGAGTCACCATGTTCTTGTGAAAATAACCATCTCCGATGGTCGCGTGATGAATGATGGGAGACGATCGAAGGTATGTGAGCACTGCGGAGTGAACGGATGATTTCATACATGTGAGTGGACTTTGAGTAAAATGACCGTGTTACAAAGAACAGCAAGGTTTTCTTGTAGGATTCGCATGGGTGAGTGTTTGTGTCAGTGCGTTGACTTTGACTGCAACAGACTGATTGAAGCACGCACACGCACATCTCAAAAGTGTACGCACATTCATGCATGCATAGTGTCCGTTGCGACACATATTGAGTCATGAGGATTTCCAATGATAAATAGGCAATCGGGGAACAAGGTAATGTATGTTCCAGTCTCACAGTCTTTTGAATACGCCTATTGTGGTTCCACAACGTGGGCAAGTGTGAACCACATCTTTGCAACTGTTCACACAAAACGGAATGACACAACAGCCTAGGATTCCGCTGGATTGAATGCAGTCGGATTATCAATGTGTCGGTCAGTGTCGGAAGCAGCCGAGGTGCGAGGGCCGGTGACGGAGCAACAGGAGATGGAAAGAAAACGAATAAGCACAATTAGAATCATGACGGATTGGGTCGTTATCTTTTTTAATATTACCAAATATTTTGTAATCACCACTGCCGTGCCAAAGAGGGGACACTACACCCCTTCCCTGTTGTCCTTCTTACAATAAAACAAAAACACATTCTCTCACAGGTTCTTCCAATTTCTTGGTTTCATAAACTAGGCTACTTACTTCTCATTTGTCTACCGCATTGCACTGAAACCAGGGCGATTGGTGCTCCTTTCTTCATCAAGAATAATTACTCAAACCCGGTGAACCGAGAGCACATGGCCAAAAAAGAAGCCGAAATGTTCAGAAAAGCTGAAGGATTGACCCTGTCACGGTACAGTTGAAAGGGATTACTTGAGCGGCTGTACAGGATTCGTACGACTATTCTATCTGTGTCGCCCTAGTGCTACAAAAAGTTACAATCGGTGTACTTTTGATCAGCAGCGCGCATTCTGCCGTTCACGCTTGAACACGATGGCAGTTGAGAGAGATTAACTCACAGCTACGGTCAGAAAGATCGTAAGATTTGGAGTGAACAATCACTGTAAAAGACCCCCAATAAGTCGGACGTGGTAGAGAGACTAACGTGAATAAACCTGTGTCCGGAAGCCAACTTTTACACTTTGCATAAATGTTTTACATACAAACTTCAACCAGAAACATTTTTTCCGAATTTGAGGAAACCAATCATTTGGCTTTGTTCACGCGAGGCTTTCTGTGTTGAGGACTTGGTACAGAGATGCTGGTGACTAACTGATGTCTGATTGAAACATCAGTCAACAAATATGAATTAACCTAATGACATCTTAGCATTATAGAGTATTTGAATTATTCTGGATAAAAGTTTGCGTTCAATTGAAAGGACTGATTCAACCTTAGATAATTGATTGTTATTTCGGTTCAGCTTGTCGCAAATGGTTACGAAAGTCACGTGTTTTTTCACTGGATAATCGCTTGCTGATAAGTGCATCATTTTGAAAACGATGTATGGTTTTAGGTTAGTTGTTTTAGAGAAGACCTCTGTCATCCTCTGGCTGACTTTTCTCATCGGTCGGGCAAAATAATCGGTGTCAATATTACATTCAGCAGCATGTGGACCTTGAAACTAAGTGTTTGGGGTATGTGAAACAGGCCGGTTCTTGAAAAACGCAAACATTAAGTTATTATGAGTTTGTAAAATACCCCAGTGAAACTTTCACTTCAATTGAAATGCTCGCCAGGTGTGACCAACAACTTTCTAAGGCTCGAAAAATGCTTTTCTAATGAATTTCGGAACTGTTGGAGGCCATGAAAAGCACCAGTTCGTGGGAATTATTTCTCTCGTTCTACGCCCACGTATGGCTGCCGTGAAATGACCATACCCAAAGGCCACAAGGGCCAAAATTACTCTCAAGGACAGAGCGCAATCGGACGATGCGACCTAATGGATCACAATAGATCCGGTGCGATAAAAAGTGGCGAGAGATGTCGGGTCTTGAATCTTGTACCTCAGAGGTGACAGCAATTTTTATCTCGCTGCACCGTCATCGGTGCACTGGGAATATCAATTTCTCCTTTTCATTAGTTGATCCCGTTAAAACATGAACCTGCATACACGCCCCCGCTAGCGCGCGCACGCACACACACACACACACACACACACACACACACAAACAAACAAACAAACAGACAAACACGCACGCACGCACATGATCCTTCAGGACTGGCCTAGTCCTACTTCCACGGTACAGAATTTGCATATTTGTAATCTGGATCCCATTGAGCGAGGCTACACGGTTGCATTCCGGTCAACTCATTGTTTGCTCCCGTTCTTGCATTTTGTTCACGTTGTGAACTTTTTTACGTTAAGCATCTAGGTTCGTCATGTTATAGAAAACAGCATGATGCACTTTTTGAGCGTAAATATGTTCCTTGGGTTAAAAGCTTAGATTATTTTAGGGGAGTTGAGACAACTCTCATTTCACATTCAATAAGAGCAAAGCATTCTACCGATTGTGTTCGGTATTATCTGTCAGTATTATTTTCCTGACTGTCCATTCAAACTTGGGCAAAGCTGCGGCAAACATAGTGCCAACAGAGTTAAACTGATTGTTCGTTGTTGACATTCAAGATGGAATTCATTATTTTGCTGACGACACAAGAAAATATGACTGAACGTTATCAAACTGCTGTCAAGAAATGGAAATGACAACATATTGAAACCATGGATAGAGGATTGCATCATCTTGGAGTGACTGAAATAAACAATGGTGCTACACTTACCCGAAGAGTGCTATAACACCGCACAGAACCCAAGTCAAAGTACCATTCACATGGTTGATCGTGGTCATTGTTTGCTCGTTGCAATTCGGACAGCAAGCAACTGTCGGATGCGGCCCATATTGTACAAGGATTATGGGCGTAGGTTGATCTGTTATCACAGAGTCTGTTAAGTGTAAAACAAACGGTTATGAATTATGAAACGATTGAAATGGTACCGAAACACCGATGTTGTGAGGAAGTCTATGGTCCGATCATCGTTAGAAACTATCAGTCAGGCATTTCCATTTCTCGAATGAGAAATAGCAGATTGTAGGAATTTTCTGAGACACATAAGATAGTTAGGATCAGGAGTGCATACCACAATTACCATTTGAGTTAAATCGTAAAGAATAAAATTTAATTGTCTGCTCTTTCGACGAATTTTCTATCAGAATTTTGGGGTACCAATCAGGAACATAACCCCACGGGTTAACACACCAACTAGTAAAGATGGGCTACCGGATTGATCCGTCACCACGCACTGCGTTGCTTTAGATTCAGCACACCTTGAGCGATAGGACTAAAAATAAAGGATTTGGTGAATTATCAGACCAAATTTTTCTATTCCGCGTGTCTATCTGCGAGGCCTTCGTTCAATGACGCATTGGCTAATAAATATGCCGACGATGCAGCATTTTGTAAAACTTATCCAGTGATCCTGTGCTTCGTATTCGCAGCAAGTAGCCTCGGACATCGAGTTATCTTTGAATCAGGACTTGGCTTCAACCCTTCCAAATGTGCAGATTTATTTTATACTTCACGTTGACATGCACCAAATTTATTCCCCGTAAGCACAAAAATGAGAAAAAAGACGTGGTCCGAAACGCGTCCGTGAAGTGTCGTTGCGTATTCCCAATACAAACCTCGATATGATCAAAATACATTATGGCCTTTTTTAACAAGGTTAGGAGGACTACTTCATATCTATTGCATCTTAAGAAGTCTCCTATCAAGATTGGTTTAACTAAAACATTTTGTATAAGTTTGCATTCTACCACACTGGCTTTATGGATCCCCTGCTTCGTTCTCCAGTCTGTTTTCCAAGAGACTCCAACTTATCCACAGACTTCTTAAGTACGTTTCCAAAGCAGACGGAATAATGTGCAAACATCTAACATGGCACATATTATCCTAACATTCCAACTTTTGCTGTAAACAAACTCGTAATACGTAAGCGGACGCGGCATTTTCTCTTCGTTGACATCCCGAAATGCATTTCCGATTATCCTACGCGGTCAATAAAAGGAAAAACGGTTTGCTTGCACAAGTGCGTATTTACGTTCCGTGGTACCGCAAAACTTATGCAATCTCCTGACGAACCTGGTCAAACTAAATCTGAGGCAAATGTTCGTTTTCAGGAAGTTTAAAAAATGTTATCTTATTCGGTGACAGCTGAATAAATACCTCTCGGGGTGCACAAAACACTGGCATAATTCTACTTGACTTGGGTGAGTAGACAACAACTTGACTGAAGGCATGCGCTACAGTTTTGGAGAGAGAAAAAACATCCCAATGTGATGTACATACTTCGTGGTAATCATGAGGATAACAAAGGGTGTTCCTTGTTCAGAATGACTCACAAGCTGTTAAGCTTAACCTCTTGACTTTTCCGTACCTCATTGGATGCAGCCGAACGTTCATTTTTCAAACAGTCTCTTGACAACGCTTTTGGTCTATGTTAAATTAGTGTTGACCAGCCCCGTGGGGTCGATTGATTTACGGCTCCATTGGTGTCAAGCGAGGTGATAGGCATGGTTTTTCTGTTAACTAAACAGTTATTATGACCGACTTGCCTATGAACAAAGCTCTCCGCGTCAAACAGACCATAGGAACTAGGAACTGTGACTATGGCAGTTAGGACATTAGTCCTTGCGAAGTAACTGGATTCCAATAGCTATTTTCCCGATGACTATCACCTTAGTCCGTGGTCCTCGATTGGAGACATCTGTAGAAAATTAGTGAAACGAAGATTGTACAATTTGGTTGAACGTGTGAGAAACGTGTACCGCATCGACGAACAACCGCCCAGCTGAGTTAACTAGGCTGGTAAGGTTTTGTTCGGAGGTGGCCTAACCGTCCTCTGTGTGGTCGATTATCCCATAGCCGGGAGAAATGAATTGTCTTGGTCATGGAAATCCCGACGATGCTTTGCACTTTTGGTATTCGACGACAAATCGAGACAGGCCGGATCGTAAAACAACAGTGGGTTGCAAGTGGCTTACTCGTACGGTTGTTCGTTTTAGTTCGGCCTCTTATTTCTAACATCAAACTGCATTATGGTTCGCATTTGTGCGTTTCCTTCCCAATTCGCTTGATCGGGACAGTTCTAGAAGCGACTACATGCTCTTAATGCTACCTAGCGTATTAGTGGTCAACTATGTAGTACCTGTGGCCCATGATACGATCCAAACATGCGTTCAGTGAGGGCTTGCCGGATTTCACGTTTATATTCATACATTTATAGTCGTACAAATGAGTGAGGTGCAACCATCACGTATTTTACTGCAAATAACGAACACAACAGGCAATGCATCATGCGGTACGGCGTGTGGTAAAAATGCAGATCTATCTTTTTCGAACTTCTCACCAGATGAATACAATACACGTGCATGAGAAGGACTACCAGAGGTCTGTTTCAGCCATACCAAGGGTATTGCCCCAACTGGCTAACCAAATGAATCAACAAATATATCCGTGAGTAGTGCAACCCTCATCCATACAATCGATACGGGGCACAAGTTAACAGGAGATGAAGCTTTCGCAGTTATCTATTGAACGTCAAATAAATGTTTTGACGTGACGTATCACTACTATATATGTCCATCGTTAGGTTTATTGCTCCTCCGTGGTACTGGTTATCACACCAAATGTACATGAATAATGGAAACGCATATGCATTAGTGCTACTGCCTGACCATAGCGTCTTACAAGTGTGCGAATACACCTATACCTATACAACACACACACACACACACACACACACACACACACACACACGTATACCGTATGAACTTGTCGAACAACAACTGTCCGAGATAGAAGTCTAACACGGTGCTGAACTTTTCCGTTTCAAACTGGACCAACTGATCACCAATGTTTTGAAATAAAATTCACATCTGCCCGACGTTCAGGTAATAAACAAATTGCATTGAATCGACGCTAGATGTCGTGTTAGAAGGTCGACATAGTGCCCTCTTTTAAACGTTCCAAACCGTAACTAGCCCGAATGGCGGGATTTTTGACACAAATATAGTTGTTCCAAGTTTTTGTAGCTGACCTTTCACTAATACGTCCCAGAATCGTGACCACAATGACCCCCCCCCCACCTCCCCTGATGAATCCACATATAGGCGGATCTGAAGTGCGTGCACTGACAACACTTTGGATGTACATGTACAGATCAGATGCCAATTCACATTTCAACTAGTGCTCCGAAAAGCCTGAACATTATAGATGTGAATGGTTTCGATGATCTGGAAAGGCAAGTCTGCTAGTAGTATTCCAGTGATTTAGAACTGCGAGGAGACAAATTGTTCACGTAAAGAAATACTCTCGAATAGTTCATTCAAGGGCTACGACAGGTTATCTGGCATCAATATAAGTTGACAGAGTAGAGCTTTACAGTGGGATCTGCCTATCGGTGAGGGGCTGCGGTGCACATATTTTTTGAGGCATACATTATCGTGGTTTAGTTAGTAAACAAGCAACCAGCATGTCATTGATGTCATGGCGACGCAGGTGACATGTATAGTAAGAAGGACGTTTTTTGTCATCTGAGGTGTGATATGAGCAGTGATTGCATTCATACACAAAGTATCCGATTACGACTGCATTAGCTACAGCTAGGACTCAGAACCTAGCGAGTTTCGATCAGTCTGGTGCTTCCGAGTGCAGGTTGGTCGGATGACCTGAGGTTTGCGCGTGAAACGTGGAGTCCAAAAGGACAGTCAACCAAACGAAAATTAAACAATCCCACGCTACTCGCAAGTAATTGCATGATATATAAGTATACCAATAGTTGGTAATCCGTAATGTTGTTGCAGCCCCTATCGTCGACACGGGCATCTGGTGGCCGGGTCCGAATTGAGCTTCGGGCGTTATTTACCAAGTACCCTCCAAGGGGTCACGTTTTCGCCAGGCTCGGTACGTTGGTCGTGGCCGAAGCTGTCAGAACCCGACGCTTGAACTCCAATGTGACAAATTCCATTGCAGCCTTCAAATTTATTACCAGAATTAGTTCTCATTCAACTAATGAAGATTTGATCATTGGACTTTTTTCTGTCAAATTGTTGTCCCAAACTGAGTTGCTTACTTTGACCTAAATCCTCGTTTATTTAAAGGGTAAGAAAAGCGGCACCCGTTAGTGGTCTAGACTGGGTAGCTAAATTGTGTCTGCTATCACTAATACCGTGTTTCCCCGGACATAAGACCCAGTCTGATACACATTTCGCTTCAAAAATTGCCCTTGGGTTTATTTTAGATGTCCTTTTTTCGGATATAAAAGCCACACGCAAAATTCAACGTTTATTTAAATACAGTTTGTCGGCTTCTTCTGGGATATCGTAATAAATTTCTGAATCCCACTTTCAGGCCTGAATTTCTTGCGACTCCATTTCCCGTAAAACCACTGACTCCAGTTTCTCGCGTCGAGTAGTGAAGCTTTCCCTAAACTGGTGTTCTTTTTTCACGTAGCCTACTCGTAGTGCATTGGTGACGCAACTGTCAGTGATTTCATCCCATGAATTCGTCACGCAAGTCACGACTTCTGCCAAAACTAAGCTTCACAAAGCTACCACGTTGACTTGTCTGCATCCTCCTTTCGATTTAGTCGCCGATTTCTGTGTACAACTAATCCTTGAAAAGTTCGTTAATTGTATTATCAATAATCTGGAAATATGCAGTAATTCCTGTGGAAATCATAAGTCAATCTATCGTTCTCTCTGCAAGGAAGTTATCGATGTCTTCAGCATGGTAGGAGCCGACCGAATTCCGGACTACCAGACCTCATTGATCCCCTCAAAAAATAAGATGAAGCCATAATTCAATCCACTTTCTTATAAATGCTCGTGTGTACCAATCTTTTTCGGTTGCAAGAGTGAAAAAACCTGAAACAGGTTCAATTTG